GTGAGCTATGTGTTTATGTTACTAAAGCTCTCTTTTGCATTGGAGATCGTCGATCAATAGATGCTCACTGTCGTATGAAAATCATTAAAATTGGAATATAAAGAAGGAGAATCTGTAATTAATACAGTTTCTTTGAATTTAAAACTAAGATAATGTCTAAAGCTTCCTTGTTCATTAAAAATGATAGCAATAGGTTAGTAAGTTAGGAGTATTCGTTGAGTGAGTAATTTATATTCCGGTATGAGTGACGGTAATTTCGGACTTAAAGTCCGAAATAAAATACATACACAAAGAAAGATGTTGCTAAAGACGGTGATAATCTGCCTGTAATAGCGACAGATCTCTTGAGAGGCACATCATCATGAGCCGTCAGGTTCTATAGACAATGTAAGAAAGTTGTAGGTAGAATAATAATTTACCATACTATTTAATTTGCAGATTGATGACTTAAAATGAAGACTTGAAATTATTCAATGCGCGGACAGCAAATATAACTGATGCAAAGCCAATATGCTCTCTTCAATTCACTTTGCGAACGAGTATAAACATGTTTAACCACGGCGACGAACCCAAATTCGATTGCATTTGCTTTAGGAACCCAAGAACTAAAGAGCCCAAGAGCCCATGCAACTAATCGGATTGTAATTGCCGCATGCTAGAGAACAAAAACCACTTAACACGCAAAACTAAGAAAGCTTTGCTCGAGTGGGACTCAGAATCTTAGTCAGTCTTAGTCAATTATTCAAACGCGATCGATATTCAATCGTGATCAAAATTATGTGTACCCATATCAGGAGTATATATAGTACCCAAACATGTTAAGCTTTCCTTATAATTTTACCTCGTAAGATTCGTATGTCAACCATAGCCAGCAGAGCGCAAATTATGGATCACAATATCTCTATGGTTTAATTTAAATTCAAAAGCTTAGTTGCTTTGCTGCTACGATTTATTTTCCAGTTGAACTTGAAGGTCTTTATAAACCATTTGCACTTCTATATTCTTCTATTTATATTATACTACACATTTATGAAGAATGTGGTAATAATCATTATAATTATTAGTTCATGTAACAATTGGAAGATTTATTGAAATTGATATAAATATATATATTTGATAGACCGTTTGCAAATGAGAGATATTACTTTGGCTGGAATCTGTCTATATATCTCCTGTTTGAGTTTTTAACTAGAATATAAGATAAGTTAGCGAAGTTCAAGATATTCACTCATCGGTTACAAATTTATGATAGACTAAATAAAAGAGGACAGCGTGAATTAGGCACAAGTGCAGCATACCCTTTTGTCGCCTGGTGCAGGATGTAAAAATAGCATAATGAAAAAGGTCTACAGATATACTTTGATGTTTGTTGGCACAAAGAAATATCAGAGCAATACAAAGTATGACCAAAAGAAATACGAAAACAAAACCACAATTTCGCCGAAAGACAAAAACTGATTTTTATTTGTTTTGGTTTTGTTTTTTTTTTTTTTGCTAAAGATTCTAGCTTCTATTTCCATGTCAATAGACGAGAAAGACTCTGTGTCTGTTTGGAAAAGTTTTTTGTGCGGCCATTGTCTTTGTCTAAATTTAAATTGTAAAAATTGCTGTTGCGATGAAAGGACATAAGACTAGCCTAGATTTTAATACGAACATGTAGCTACATCAAAACAAGGCAAAGCGCTTCAATACCAACTCGGCATTTGAATAGCGACACCAAGGTGCAAAATCTAGTTACATGGCATTATAAATACCTCTTTTTTCGAATTGCAGGAGGCCGACTTCATGTTAATTGCAAAAGTTAAAATCTATAAAAACTAAAAAAAATGTATATACAATTTGTTTGACCAACATTGTTGATATATCATTGGGATATATGCATAAATAGATATAAATATATTACAGGCGTACGTACAAAACATTTGCATTCTATCCATGCAATCGGCTCCTAACACTATTTAAATACAAATTTAGATACAAATTTTTAATGAAAATTATTCTCTATATAATAACTGCGTAAGAATTGTGTCGACTAAATGCTTCACACACTAATTAATTTAAAAGCAACGTATTTAATACTTGTTACCGAGGTCAAAAGAGTATAGTATACACTACCTTACTTGAAAGTATATTTTCTCATTAACATTTTATTTACTCAAAAATTTTGTCATTTTATTTGATCAATATCCGCCTTGAAGGTTAAGATTTTATTAAATTTTAAATAGTCACACTACTCTAAACTTTTTCAAATAATTGGATTTAAGTGACTCCTATAGTTGTTTATTGAAAAACTCAAATGTATATAATATAAACATTTACATACATATATTCATATAAGAGCGTTTTCTCGTTTCTGAACAAGAGGGCAGAAAGCTGCGCCAAATGTTCGCATATGTTTACATATGCGCACGTTAAAATGCCTTTGAATTGTCAGCTGCTACTTTAGTTTAGATTTACTACTTAACAGACAAGAGACAAGACAAGTAAAGTGGAGGTGTTGGTCTAGTCGAGGAGTTGTGCGAGTCGAGTGAGAAGAAGAAAGTACCTTCAATGTTTTGATTGATTTTCGGATGGCTATGAACTTGGGTGTCTTAAAATTGTATATGGATTTGGTAAGGAAATCGCAGGGGCGTAAACACTATAATTGTTATTATAGGTTGCTTTCGAGTGATTTTACCCTTCCGTATGAGTATAAACCATTTCGTGTCTAGTTAAACTAGAGGTTTGAAATACGTCCATTGATAAAATATTTTGTAATGTTTAGGACAGATTTACGAGATTCGCTGTAATTTTTCTTAAGAATTTAGGTGCTCAAAGATTAATATTGAAATTTGCTAGTTCTGTTGGGCGATGTTTGGAAAAGTTCAGAATTTCTTATGATAGAGCTAGAAAGTAATGAGATTAACACTGCAGAAAATAGAGAGATATCAAACGATTGTGTCTGCTTAATGTAATCAATCTCGAGAATTGGGTCAAATTAATGCAAAGGTATATATATGATCTACTATTTTTCAATACATAAATATAGTCTTGCCTTCTTAACTCTTACGTCTTTTTCCCGCAGGTTGAGTAAGTTGACTACAGTCTTTTGAATACATGTGTAAACAATTGGTAAATTCTCATATTGTATTAAGGCGTTCCTTAAAGATATCTTATTGGAATGATAATTATTTTGCAAGCTATTATTGGCCTTGTCCATACAACTAATTTGACATCGACGATTGAATAGAACTCTAGCTCTCCTTGCAGATTGCGAATGCCTTCACTGTGTATAGTTTTTATACTCATTCACGAAACTGAATTATTATACTGAATTATTAACTGTCGTGAATTAAATGAGTATATTGGTTTTGTGCAATGTCCGTTCGTCTGTTCGTATGAACGCAGTTTAATTCGGCGCTATTGAAGTTAGAGACTTGAAATTGGAACACGTACTGGTGTATAGGGGCATGAAATATTGGAAAATCCTTTTTTCCATTTAACATTTATTTAGAAGGGTAAAAAACTTTGCTGAAGCAGCGATTATTTTGAAAACAATATTGCACTTTTTAAATTTAATTGATGCTGTGATATATTTTATAATTTCACTTTAAAGCATTTGAATTTGACTGTAACGTGGTACGTGACCTGAATGGCTATAATTTTATTGGGATGAAACTGGAAAATAAAATTGATTGACTTGGAATTGATTTCACACTGTTCAAAGTGAGAAAAATCCATAGTTATTAGAGAGTACTATTCAGGTCCCAGTTGAATTCATTTAAATTATGAAAATGTATATTTAATAATTTTCAATCTACACTTATTTCATATTTTTTTTTTAGTTTTATAGTTAATTATCTCTTGAAACCCGGACTCTGATTTGCATTGTACAGGAATATGAAGACACGTCTGAATTGGAGCATCGTACAGGAATATGTAGATAAGTCCGAACTGGAACATTGTACAGGAATATGAAGATACTTTCGAATAGGAGCATCGTATGAATTTCAAATTAATAATGAGTTAAGCACGGTCAAATCAACACAGTAATCCTTAACTGCGATAGCATGAATTCTCATGCTTTTGTGTTGATGTAACGTGTGTGTAACCCCTATTTGTAGGGTGATTTTCCTATTTTCTTGTTGAATTAAGAGTTACCTCGAGATCACAAATAATGCAAGCGAGGTCAATCATATTCGAGTCTAGAAGTTGATGTAGATTTCATCAACGGTCAGTAAAGAGTTGATGCATTTCTTGAGGCCGCACTGCAATTCCATTATAGGGTGTCCCAAGGCAAAACGTTTCGTGAGAAAATACATATTTTGTCCCAATCATCATGGTTGTCTGTCCGGTTATAGAACAGCGAAATAAATATTTATATGACGAACACAAAATTAAGCACAAATACCGGTTGGGTGTGTGCCTGTTTGTTTTTATATATACAGTCCTGTCAATTCGGATACATTTAAGGACAAAGAAGGGAAACATCCCAATAATAAAACATACATTTTTAAGAACTCATTTGGGTCCTCATCCGTTTAATCTTAATAAATGACTCGACGTCATCTTAGCTTTTGACAAATACTACTGACAAATACATATTAAGGCTTACCTTCAACTTCTATTTTTATTGCGTGTGGAATGAATGAATGAATACTGAGTGGAGCAACTGATTTTTTAATATAGTAGGGCTGCGGCTATTAAATCTATGCTAGAATTGTAAAGCTAGAAGCGAATCGATATTGTACTAAGTGATCGTCGAGTTCGGAAACTTTGAAAAACAGAAACAACCAATTTGTTAGTCATTTGCGGCTATTAAATCTATGCTAGAATTGTAAAGCTAGAAGCGAATCGATATTGTACTAAGTGATCGTCGAGTTCGGAAACTTTGAAAAACAGAAACAACCAATTTGTTAGTCAAGCTGCCTTATTGAAGCATCAGCCTCTGGTATTATAAATATATTTGAATCTTTTGTCATATTTGGCATTAGAGTATAAAGGCATACTTGTGGGGGCTCTACTAGAAGCACGTAAGTCTTTGAAGTTAGAAACTTGAAACATATAGGAATGATTTATTGTGTGCAATAGAGAAAGATTTAAACATATGCACAATCATTTTAAAACGGGACACAGTAAAACACAAAATTTCGGTTTCTTGAATATACAATTATTATATTTATATAATTTTAAGGAAAAGCAATATGATAACAAAACTAGAGTGAATGCATGGACTGGACGAAGTTGGAAAATTCTCGATTTTAACGTATTTCAAGAAACTATTATTATACCCTGAGCCCATTGAAAATGGGAAATCAGGGTATAATGGTTTTGTTAAATGTATGTAACAGGCAGAAGAAGGCGTGGCAGACCCCACAAAGTATATATATTCTTGATCAGGGCGACGAGCTGATTTGACCCTAACCGTCTGTCTGTCCGTCCGTCCGTATGTATGAACGCGTCGATCTCAGAAGATATA